TACAAGGCCCACCGGGAGTCCAGTGGTGAAAAGCAAGGCCAGAGAGGTGGGCCGGCACAGGTGCCCCAATACTGCCTGGTGGTGGAGGGTCCCTGCAGGAGTCTAGGCAGGGCAGAGACCATCCATTGTGGGGTTTGAGGGTGGACGGGGGGCCCTCTGCCTCCTGCCAGCACCCGGCAAGGAAGGCCTAGGGATTTTCTCTTCAGCAGAGTATGCGGGCACCGAGTCAGGCCGTCCCACCTGCTGCACAGAAGCACCTCGGGACGAGGATGCATGGGGCACCCACACTGACCTCAGATATGCTCAGACCTGGGCCCGGAGCCCAGAGGGAGGCCTGAGGGCTGCGGGGCCATCCTGCCCCGCCCGAGGCCCAGCCGTGGTGCGCCAGCTGCGGCGGCCTCGGCACCTCTGCAGCCATCAATGCCTCCTCTGTGGACTGGGCCTGGGAGCGCGGGCTGGGCGAGGCCTTGGGCCCCAGCCAGCCCGGTCCTCTCTCAGGGTGGCACGGACTGGCCTCCTCTGCACTGGCCTTGGGGTCGTAGTGGGCATTCTCCATCCTTAGGGCCCGATGCTCCTGAAGCGCCTGCCGAGGCTGGTTCTGTGCTCACCCATAAAACCCAGCTCAGAGGAAATGTCCCCAAACACACGGTCAGTCAGGGATGACAAGACAGGCAGGTGGTGAAGTTCAGCTTTATTTCTCTACACACCAATGGCCTTTAAAAAAGGTTTTATTTATTTATTTTGATACAGAGGAGAAGGGAGGGAGAGAGAAACATCAACATGTGGTTGCCACTCACGCACCACCTACTGGGGTCCTGGCCCACAACCCAGGCACGTACTGACTGGGAATCAAACTGGTGACCCTTTGGTTCAGAGGCCGGCACTCAATCCACTGAGCCACATCAGCCAGGGCACCAGTGGCCTTTTTATGTCAAGCCACACCTAGGACCTTTGGGATGCAGGCTTTTTGCCCCAACTCCACCTTTTCCCTGGTGGTACCCGACCTTGCATGGGGGTCCTGGAGATCCTAAGATGGTTTCCCTCTTCAGGCCATGGCTCCCGCATGCCCTCTCAGGCTGTGCCTGGGCTCAGGGGGAACATCCTGCACTTCTGAACCCCAGCTGCACAGCCACTGCTGTGCCAGGCCCCCTGAGACCCCATCCACATCCTCATGTATGCCACTGCTCCCCAAAGCCCCCCGGAAGGGCCATGAGCCACAGGGCACCATGACCATGTGGAGGCCGCCCTGTGACTCCATTCAAGCCACTCTTCCTTCCGACTAGGGACAACTGTCCACTTTCAGGAGTGCTATGTGTGCATTACATCACCTAACCCTCCCAACACATCCAGTTGCCCCCGACTGACAGCCGAGGGAGCTGAGGCCCAGAGAGGGCCAAGGTCTGGACTAAAACCCCAGGACCCCTGATGTTATCTCTGCTCCAGGGCCCCTGACCCCTTGTACGAAGACCCACCCGGCCTCTTCTCACTGGACTGTGGCTGTGGTCTCCCCACTGCCTTATCAGAAAGAAGATGCTCCTTGCTCAGCGTCTTCCGTGGCTCCCACGGACTCCAGGATAAAGTCGTCATTCACCTGGGTAGTCACAGCCCCTCTGTCGTCTGGCCAAATGCCTCCTCCTCAGTATGAACCTCTGCTCCTGTGCCCCTGGCGTTCCCATCTCCAAGACTCCGCCCAGCTCTCCCACCTCCCTGGACCGCCCTGACTTCCCTCCTGCAGTACCCCTCCCATTCCAGCCTTGAGAAATGCACAGGTGAGAAGGAAACCAAAGAGAACGGTGGTCCTCACCCCCACCAGGCCCTAGCCCAGGCCTCGGGGTCCGCTCAGTGGTTTCCTCTCTGCTGCACCCCACACAGCTCAGCCCCTGGCTCCTTAGGACTGGCCTGTGGAAGCCCAAGGCCCAGGGATGTGCAGTATGCCACAGTCCTGCTGCGTCCTTGGAACCTGGTGCCGAGCTGCCCCGTTCTGGAGCAGGTGTTGGCAGGGAGCTCAAGCATGGAGGGAAAGAGGTAGCCGGTGGAGGGGAGCATGAGCGCTGCCTCCCCTCCCCACGCCGCCTCTCCAGGCCCCTGGGAGTGGTTGCTAGGCTGGCACATGGCAGCGGTGGGAGCACAGTCTCATTGCAGCAGGCACAGCCTGTCAGCTGCACCCACAGTCCACATGGCAGGAGCTGGCTGTGGGCATGGGGTGCCCAGGGGAGATGCCAACAGGCCAGCCAGACCCTGGGGGCAGGGGAAGATGGTACAGATGGAGCAGGGCCCTGGGGCCACAGCAAGGGCAGCCCTTCCATAACCCTGCATTCAAAGGTGACCAAAAGGTGGTGGGCGTTCCCAGTCCTGATACCAAGGGTCCCAGCAGTCTTCCTTAATGGCCTTCTTTATCTTTCTCCTATCTGCTGGGCCACCCAGGGGCCCTCCTGATATTACTGGGGGCCAAGGGGCTAATGGGAGCCTCCTGGATTACCTCCCAGCCCTGGTTATGTCCCTTTGCCCCGGGGCAGAGGACTCTTCCAGGGCTCACATCTGGGAGCCCCCTCTCTTCTCCAGAGCTCCAGGCACTCGGAGCTCCTCCCCCGGGCCTTGGAGCTCAGAACCTGAGTCTGCCTTGGGTCTTCTGACACTCATGGACTCGACTCCCCTCGGCTCTGGCCCTTCCTGGGGGCTTCCCTCTGGCTGCTCTAGGGATGTGTGTGGCCTGAAGGGGAGGAGCTGAGCCTTGGGCCTAAGGGACCAGATCAGCCTGGCTGGCCCTTCCCACCCTCCCCTGCGGCAGTCCTAGGAGCAGATGTGTGGGTGGGTGTGAGCAGCAATGCCCCAGAGTGGGGGGTGGCAGAGGGAGGGGCACCAGGATTCTGGGCAGGCTCTTGGCTGGCAGAGGCTCCTGCCAAGATATTGCCCCGCCCCGCCCCGCCCCAGCCCCTCCACTCATTATCAACTTGGGGTTTGTGTACAAACAGCAGCTGGTCTCTTTTGTCAGCCTCCCCTCCCCACCCCCTATGCCTTCCCTCCTCCCCAGTGCCTCCCAGCTGGCTCATCCATCTCTGGTCCTGCCTGTCCCCCCAGGTGACTTAGAAGCTGGGGTTCTGGGGAGTACCTGAGAGGGGAGGTGGCCCCTGTCCTTTCTTGGCTCTGGGTCTGAAGTTCTCCTCTAACCCTTCAAAGAAGTGATGTAAAACCCCAACGGGACAGGAGGTCCAGAGAGGGTGAGCAATGGAGCCAAGTGGGCAGCTGGGGCCTGGCCACGGTACCTGTTGGTAGAACCTGTCTGCTGAGCCAGTCTGCTCCCCGGCCTTAACTGTTCTTCCGGTCCCCCCAAGGCCTAGCATCCCTTCTAATGGGGACTCTGGAAAGACCTCCTAGCCTGTGTCAAGGGCTTTAACTGAAGAAATTTTATGTGCATGCAGCACACAAGCCTGGGTGGCCGGGCCCTGCCAGTTATACCCAGGAGTTGGGACTGGATGCTTGGCAGAAGGCAACGGGAGAAGAAATCTTTCAAGCAGCAGGCCCTGCAGACTGTAGAGGCAGAGCAAGGAGGCCTATTAGGAGAGAAGGCAAAAAGTAGAAGCGTGTGGACCAAGGCCCTGGCCCTGGGGGTGTGGGGCAGCCAGACCTGAGAGACTTGGCCATTGTGGGTGGACAGTAAGGGGCATGAGAATGACGCCCAGGTTTTGGCTTGGGCAATGGTGAGGATGCAAGTCCTTTACAGGTACAGAAGCTGGAGCGGCAGGATGAGGACCTTGAGCTTGAGACACACTGGGTATGAGATACTGGAGGGGTGTTTGGGCTGCAGTCCCCAGGGGGTTTGGGAGTCAGGTGGGGGCGGGGCATAGGAGGTCTGGGAGTAGGTGAGCTCATGGAAAGTGGAGGGAATACAGAAAGAAGGGGCTGAGGATGACATCCTGAGCAGGCTCAGAGGTCAAGGGAGGGGACTGCAAGGAGTGGGAGGGACAGCGAGAGGACTGTCCACGGGTTTTGTGAATTTGGAAGAGGCAGGGGCCCTGGCCTGTGTGGGCACGTGGCTCCTTACCAGGCACGCACTCTATCCTCCACAGGTTTTAGCTCTTTTAATCCTGTAATGGGCCTGGGACAACAGCCTGTCTCAGGTGCAACCGAGTTTAGGCCTGAAGGTGCTGTGTGTCAGCCAGAGTGTCTGGGCTGAGGGCTTGTGGCTGTCCCTGGAGTAGACGGTGATGGAGCCTCACGCTCTGCCAGGAGCTGGGGTGACCGAGTCCCTCAGGGCCTCCCTTCCCTGCCGACACGCCCAAACCCAGCCCAGAGAAACCACGTGCCAGGTGAGTGGCGGTGGGGGAACACCTGAGGCAGAAGGTCCCTGTGACCCGCAAGGGCTTCGCAGAGAATACAACCCCCAAGGTAGGTCTGTAAGGAAAAACGCGGGTTCACTAGGTGGATATATCCGCAAGGCAGATGGCCGGGAAAGAGCCTGAGCAAAGGCGAGGAAGCGCCAGAGAGGGAGGAAAACCGCGGCCCAGGAAGGAAAGGTGGGGCCTGAGCTGGGCCACTGCCCGGGTCCTGGTGCTCAAAGTTCAGCCTCTTAAAAGAGCTTTTTTGGGGCTTTGGCTAGGTCCTCCGGGGTCCCTGAGGCCGGGGCGGGCGCTCCAGTATGCAAGGCCAAGGGCAGGCCTGTGCCTGGCGGCGGGCCGCGAGAGCCCTGGGACGGGGAGGGGCGGCCCTGCACACTCGCGCGTGCACACACCAAGTACAGGATCTCTAGCACACAACCCGGTCAGTACGGGCCGGAAGTCACAGGACCCGAGGAGGGGACCTGGGCCGTGGGAGCAGCGCCGCGGACCGTCAGGGTGACAGGGAACAAAGGACGTGGTGGGTCCGGGGCAACAGAGCCGGGCTGTGATTGGCGGCTAGAAGTCCAGGCCTGGCGACGATTGGCTGCGACCTCAGCGGAGCCCCTTGAGCCTGCCCCGCCCCTCACGGCCGAAACCCGAGCCCGAAACGGCGGCCCAGGACCAGCCCGCGCCCCCGCCATCTGCCCCCGGGGCGGGGCGCAGGCCGGAGTCGGGTTCCTGCCCAGCCCCCCTCGCCTAGCCCGCTGTGGAGCCGGGTGACCTGTGCACCCAAATCCCCCCACCGCCGCTCCGGGCCCAGCTGCTCGTGGGGTGCCCCAGAGCCCCGGCAGGAAGACCCGAATGGCAGGATCCCCGGGCAAGAGAGAGCCAGGGCGCCCAAATGCAACGGACCTAGGGCCCCTTCCGGGAACCTGGCCAGGGCCTCGTGGCTAGACTGGGAGAGGGGTCAGAGAACAGTGGACACTCAGAGGGGACTGGCTGAAGGTGTAACGAGCGGAGGAGGGCTCGGGCTGAAGGACATCCCAGAGTAAGTGCGGTTGGATGATCTGAGGCCCGGGCCACTCAAGCCTCTCATCTTGCGGAGTCACTGGGGCCGGCCGATAGCTACGCTAGAACGCCAGACAGGGCCCCTGCAGGGCTTGGGCAGCGAGGGAGTTAACTGAATTCTCTGCCAGCCAAGCCACCGCTGGTGCTTAAGGATTTATGATGAGTGAGGACCCTTCTCAACTCCATCCCTCTTTCCCAGCGGCCTGGGAGGTGAGAGGAAAGGGGTGGAGCAAGGGACCCGGACCTCCAATCACAGCCTCAGCTCAGCTTTGAATCTGGGCTGGCGGGTTCAGCTGCTGGGCTGCCAGGTGTGCTGCGCCCTCTTTGTCCCCACTAGCCTGCTCAGGCATGTCCCACCCCACCCCCACCCTTCTAGGAGGACCTTGCCCCACCCAGCTGGTTCCCCTTCTCTCTTGGTTCCCTTAGCTGGGACAGACCCTGGTTCTGCCCAAGTGCCCTGGTGACTCCAAACCATGCCCTTCTCTCAGCCCCATTCTCAGCTCTGTAGAGACACGTTGCAGAGCACAGCTGCCTCCATCTCCCCAAGATGGCCACCAAGGGTCTGATGTGCTGGAAGTGGAGTGGGTAAGAGCCCATGATTTGCAGCAAAGTCCTGGCAGAGGGCTGGTCCAGGCACAAGCTGTGTGACCCAGAGCAAGCCCTTACCCCAAAGGTTACTCCTTCAGCTGTGAAACTGAGATCATAAGGGCCCACTGCCAGGTAGCTGTGAGGGTTAAAAGTGATCCTGAAGATGAGGTTTTATGAGACTGAAGCCTCCATGGGGGGTGTGGGAGGGGAGGGGATATTATCGCTCTGTCCCAGTGCTGGGGACAGCCAGAGAAGGGTGGGTAGGACTCCCGCCCAGGTCCTGCCCTGGTGGGCAAGGGCCAGGGTGTCAGTCAGAACAGGAGAGACTGGTGCAGTGCCATCCCCATGGAGCCCAGAGCCCTGCAGGCCCTGAACAGAGGGCTGAGCTTAGGGTTCCTGGCCCTCATACCACACCAGGTTCTCCAGGAAAGACAGGCAGGCAGAGGAACCAGGGGCTGCTTTCCCTTTACCTTCAGCCCTGGGGTGTGGAGCTGAAGCCATCTCCCATGTGAAGGCCAGAGGGCAGGTTGGAGGCCCTCAGATTTCTCACCTCTGACTCCCCACGGGCCCCTACCTTCTCACTGGCTTCACCATCAACGGGTTTTCTGTCTCCTCCCTTCCCCAGCTCTGGCATGAAATTGAGCACCAAGACCCTCCACACTGCTTTCTCAATGTCTTTCTGATCTGTCTTCTGTACCCTTCCACTGCCATCCTGGTCACAGCTGTACTGCGGTGACAGCATGAAACGCAAACTAGGTTTTGTCCCTTCCAGCTAAAGTTCTTCAGGGGCTCCCCGCTGCCCGCTGATCGGATCTGTCAGAGTGTCTAGTAACCGGGTTAGGCCCACACCCCGGAACCAGCCTGCTGGCTGTTACATCCTGAGGCCGCTGCTGCTTATTGTGCCTTGATTTCCCCACCCGTAGCAAGGGGGTGATGATAATGACTGGGCAGTGTTCTGAGTGCTTTGCACATCATCATGGATCCATTTAATCCTTACAACTCTGAAGTAAATAACTCGTTATGCCTGCTTTACTGTGCACCCACAATACCCACAATAAAAGTAGAATAATATGAGCGAGTACCTAGTGCATACAGTTATGATTAAATGAGTTAATTCATATCAAAATCTAGAAGAGCTTGGACACATCTGGTGATCAGTACATTCTAGATGGTACTCTTGACCCAGCCCATCCTACCAACACCTTCTCCCAACTAACCTCCAGTCTCTCTGAAGCGTTGGTACCTGCCTCTTCACCTGTCCTAACCACCGCTCTTGTCCCCTCCCCAGCCTTCTGGCCTTTCTGTGTCCTATCACCTGGCACAGATTGGGGATTTAATACAGACTGAGGAATGAATGGATGAGGTTTTGGGGGAAGAAGCTGGGCTGGAGGGATTATTCGATGCTCACGCGCCCCCTGGTGGCCACCATGGGCATTCCAGGCCTTGGTCCAACCTTTAAAATGCACCCTCCGGTGAAGACAATCCCAGGCCCTTCCTGGGAAAGTGAGAGACATTCTTTTTCTTTTCCCCCAGGCGGTAATTGTTATTGCACGTTTCACTCAGGATGTGACATTAGAAAAGAAAGAATTCTGCATATACCAAATTGAAATTAGATGGCGCTGCATTATTATTTGAAGCCTGGACACTATAATTTCAAGGGCAAGACTTCTCCCTGAGGTCAGACACTGAACCCAGGACTTAGTCCCCACGTGTCTAGGGGGCTGCAGGGATTTTCAGCTCCCCAGCCAGCTCGGACTTCTGTCTCTTCTGAGAGTTGTGTGTGTGTACTCATCTGTGTGAGCTGGGCTGTGCACTCACGATGCCCAGGGTTCAACTGTTTCTGTGCAGAACACAAGGTGGGAGGCAGGTTGCCTTCAGATGTGCATGGTGGGGAAAGTGTGGTCGAGGCCACGTGTCTCTGCGTGTGTGTGGCTGTCACTAGAACTCATCTGGGTTGAGAAAGCAGGGCCTCGGCCTACGAGCCGAAGGCGAGCTGGAGCCCATTGCTGGAACTTGGTGCTGGTCCAGGTATCCGTGTTGTAGAACTAACACCCAATCTGTATGCATCAGCGGGTGTCGGGGCCTGGATGTGCACCTTGGAGGGCCGCTGGTTTGCCTCTCCCTTTCTTTCACACATGTGTGTTCCTGGTGCCTGTAACTGTCCAGCCATCATCCCACTGGCTTCTGCAGAGCACCTCCCACGTGTGCTCCTGGGGCAGGAAGGATCTTCATTCATGGGCATTGTATGCGTGTGCTCGTGTCTCTCCTCATTATAGTGCCGAATCATCTTCCTGTGCTTTGGCAGGCTTGCGAAAGAGGAAGGGATTTAGAGTCAGACATGTTTGAGTTCAAATTCAGGCTCACCTAGCTGTGTGATTTTAGACAAGGGATTTAATTTCACTGAGCCTCAGTTTCCTCATCTGCTAAATGGGGACTATAATACTGCCTCTTTCCTACATTGCTGTGAGAAGTAAACAAAGACTGGAAAGCCTGGGACAGGGTGACAGGCACACAGAAGACACATGATAGATGGTGGTGATTACTGGTGCTGGTGTGTCGTTGGCTTCTAGCTGGGCCTCTGCGCTGCGCTTCCTTGTCCCCATGTCTCTATGTCCTGTGACCCATGACACAGGCAGTGTCAGGCCAGGCCCTGCAGACTGTCCTCCCTCCACCAGCATTCAGCACCGTTGCCAGCAATTCCCCGCAGCCTGGCGCAGAGCACTGTGCAGCACCGGGCTGCACACGTCGCCCCTTGCATGCAGACATGAATGCCCACGCAGGTGACCTGATTTTACGAACCCCACACTGGATCCCCTGGTCTGACCGGGCAGATAGATTCATGAGGCGGAAAGGGAGAAAGGTTTGAAGCAGGTCCTTGCAGACTCCCCAGCTTCTGGCCTTGGCATGTTTGGCCACCTGGGGGAGCCCTCTGTCCCCTTCAATCAGAGAGAGTAGAGGGGGACTCTGAAGAGGGGAGGGGTGCTAACTGCTCTGGGGACCAGAGAAAGGCCAGAAGTGGAGGGGGAGGTGCCTTAAGAAGCAGTCCCTTTTGGGAGCCAGGCTAGGAGTTAACCCATCAGTTGCCAGCCTCCACTCTTTATGCCCCAGGGGCCTCTAGTTCTGGATGAAGATGCCCATGGTGGGGTGCGCTGTTGGGCAGGGGTGGGGGGCGGGTGGATATCCTTGGGGGCACTGGTAGCAGAGGACAGAAACATGGTATTCCTTACAATTGACCAAGCCCCTCAAAATGTGTTCAGGAAGAGTGACCACGGGGTGTGGGAGAGTGTGTATTGTAACTTCTCCCATCAGCCCAACTGCCTGCAGCACCCTGGGGCCCTTGGCCTTGGTTATCTGACCCATCGCTGTCAGAGAGCAGCAGTGCCAGGGCCCACCAGGCAGGGCTCGGAACCGGGCCCCCTCTGGCTCCTCTGGGAAGCGACTGCCCTGTGACAGCCAGGCTACCAGAGGGCATGTTCTTCTAAATCTTCACAGCCGGGGAGGTGGCCCCTCTTTACAGCAGAAGAAACTGAAGCGCAGAGTGTGAAGGAACTTGCCCGCAGCCACCCAGCTGGTAGGCAGGGAGGCCTCTTTGAACCCAGGGCATCTGATGCTAGTACCCTCGCGCCAACCTCTCCCCTACCCTCTGCCACTCTGGGAGAGAGAATTCCAGCACAGAGACCCAGGCAGACAGAAGGACCTGCAGGGAGGAAAGGAAGGGCTGGAGAGGCTGGGAGCTGGGCCCAGTGCTGCCGAGACTGCCCTTTGAGCAGTTTCAGGCCCATGCGCAGAGGAATGAGCTGGGAGGAGGAAGTGGAGATGGGACATCTCTCTCAAGAGGGTGGCTGTGATGAAAGGGAGCCAAGGGGGAGGGGGTGCTCAGGGGACTTGGTGGCTTCAGTGTTGATGGGAAGGACACAACATTTCGGAGCGATGTGGAGTTCGGGCCCTGGACCCAGGGTGGGTGGCAGCCACCACAGTGCCCAAGCCACGCTGCTTCCTCATTTGGAACAGGGATCCGAGCTGTTTGCAGGTGACCGAGGCAGGAAGTAGGCTGCCCTGAGGGGAGGGGCTCTCTTTTCTTGGAACTTGGAGAGGAGGGAGAGGGAGGGGTGGAAGAAGGGGTGGGAAGGGCTTCCAGCTGGCTCAGGCCTTGGGGGGACAGTACCCAGAGATGGCCTCACAGGTCCGTACCCCCAGCCCCGTTCCTCTTTCTTCCTTACCCAGCTCTTCAGGGGGATTCTAAGGACCCTCAAGACGTGAGGCTCATTGATTTGGGCGAAAAACAAAAGTTCCAGTAAAATGGGGGCGCCTTGCCTCATCCGGAACCTCCAGCAGTCAGGGGGACAGAAGGAACTGGGGGGTGGATGCTCTGCCTGCCATTGGGGGCTTACCCTGCTTTCATGTCCCCACAACAAATCCCAGGGTCTGACTGGGACTCACTCTGTGCAGGGGTCTTAGAACCCACCTCTTCCTCAATCCACCCGGCCCCCCACCAGGGCTCCCTAGAGGCCGAACGCTGGTGCTGTGAAGTCCCGCCCCAGGGCCCAGTCTAGTCTCTGCAGCCTGCAGCCTGGGGAACAGATGTCCTGCACTCTCCCTCCTTGACTGCTCCTCAGTAAGCCCTGGGGGCCCCTTGGCTCCTCTTTGTGGCCTCTCCAGCCACCCCCCTCCACTTTGGGGAGCAACGAGCTGAAAAGAGACAACATCTGGGTCTCCCCAGGGCCCCAGTGGCCCAGCTGCTGCCTGGCCTGCAGCCTCAGGCGACAGTGCCCCCCCCCCCAGTGCCGATGCCACCCTGCCCGGCACCCTCTGAGTGCCTGGTGTCCTATGAGCCAGGGTCCCAAGTTTGGCCCCCTCTCACCCCAAGGTATTCATACCAGAAAAAACCTCGGGGCGTGGCCTACAGAGACCCTCCCGCACTGAAAGCCACAGCTGCTCTTGATACAGTGGGTGCCCCCCAGAGGTCTTTGCCACGTCCGTCCCCAGACCTGCAGGGCCCACTCAGCCCCAGAGTGAGAGACATTCTGCTCTGAGCCCGGGGGACAGACTTCTCCGATAGTCTGTTTCTGACACAGGACACAAGTGACAAGCGGAAGGGGCAGAATGCTGTGCACTGCATTGGACAGGGGCACCAGGGCCTGGGCTCGGGCCGCAGAGGCTGGCTTGCAGCTGGGCCCCGGCCCCAGCAGGCCAGTGCCCCTGGGCCCCCAGGTGCGTGGACCACGCCTCTCTGTGAGGATACTCAGGCAACCAGGTCACAAGCAATTTTGAGGTGACATCTGGGTCACGCTGGGCCTTGTCAGAAGAAAAGGAACAAACTTTGACTGATTTACATTTTGGGTTCTCATTTGCATTTCACATTCAGGCTCTGGCCTGGGCCTTCTCCTCCCTGCTCCTTCCCACTCAGGGACCACTCAATGGCCCACACTCTGAAAATGACAACGATGGCCAGCAGAACCGGGGTCTGCCCGAGGCCGTCCAGCCAGCTCGGGTTAGAGCTGGACCTCAGCGCTGGCCCTAAAAACCCGTCCAGCGTCCTTTTCCTACACGTGCAGCCTGCCTTCTGCCTTAGACGGGTGGTGCGGACCTCCAGGAAGCTCTCTTAGGGTCTCCACGCCCTGGGACAGCACCCAAGGGTCTGGGCCTGAGCATGTCTTCAGATCCCCACCAGTGTCAGGGAGGGAGGCACCTGCCCCCACTCAGCGTCACCACAGTGGAGGGCGAGGGACGGGACCGTGGGGTCTGGGCGTGGGCTCTTGCTCTCCTTGGCACATTGGAGCCCCCCGGGGCCTCTCCACGCCCTCTTTTCCTCTCGGCCTCAGGCGAATTTTATCTTCTTTTCGGTGCCCTGCACTGGCCTCGCTGGTTTCCGGGGTTTCCTCTGTGTCACAATGATCTGCAGTGGGACTCAGTGGGAGCAAGGGTCCTGCCTCTCCCCACCTTGTGTCCCCCGAACCATCAGGTGCTGTGACCTGGAAGCATGCCTATCCCCTCCTTGGCTGACGATGTCAATCTAGAGGGGGACCACTCGGTGCGGCACAGCCCTCTGGGCAGAGCCCCTCCGTCCTTCCTGGGGGCACTTTGAGGACTTCACTCCCCACCTGCCTTTGGGCTGCAGGCCAGGCCTGGTCCCCTCCAGACTCCTGGTCTGCCTGAGGCAGCTTCAGTGCCAGCACCTCCTCGCCACACTGCATCAGGCCCACACACTGAGGGCCAGAGGGGCGGGTCTGCCCTGGCCCCAAGCTGCAGAGGGGACAGAAGAAGCAGGTATCCAGGGTGCGGACACCCCTGGGATCACTCCCCACCCCTTACCCACCCAGAAGTCAGTCAACAAACACATTAACCTGCAGCTGTGTGTTCACAGCTGCCCCAAGCCTGTCCGGTGTTCAGAGGGTAAGGCTGAGCCACAGCATCTGGGAGCACCGGGGCCCCAAGATGGTCAGGCACCTGATTACCCAGT